CTTTAAGCAGTAGTTTTGTTTTTATAGTAGATGTACGAAAAAAATTGTAAATAAAATTACTTTAGTGGTTTTTGTCTAAAATATAATAAAAAACAAACCGTGTTCTAATTGGCATAGTTGAAAGCGTAAGTAGTAATAATGTTGAATTAAGTGTACTGTTACCTGTGTCTGTGAACTGTATCAAACAGTGGGTGGAACTGAATGGACGGAATAAGAACAATTTTTGTGATTCGTACCTGTATTTGCTCGAAGGGTACCTCAAACGTGAATGATTCGTTGTAATACGGATTGAGAGTGCATTTTTTGATGGACGTTTTCTTCTTCTTCAGCCTTTTGCCGTTCTGCATCAATGCGATCTTTACGTAAGGATCTGAGAGACCGCCGACATCCATCTTTTTCAGGTTCTTGGCTTCCAGAATGACAACCGTTAATTTACCGGCCGTGGGCACGTATCGAAGCGAAAAGCAAATGTCTCCCAGTTTGTTATCCTATAATATTAATAAATAACGAAACATGACAAATGAATAGTCAAGCCAGTAGTACACTCTCGTCGAGACTCTTACCGAGACGAGTGCTACCAGCTTACGTCGTCTCGGATTTAGTCGCGAGTCGCGGAGTCGCGAAATTAATACACTATTGTAACTAGAGACGGTTCTCGAATTTGCGGTAGGTCCTCGCAATAAAAGAATCAATTCGAAATCGAGCGCTGACGATGTGAGATAAGGCGAGACGAGCAATGCAAGTACGTGTATTCTCTCGCCTTACCTCGACGAGACCGCACTACTAGCATCATTATCGTTTGGTAAGCAAATGTTGAAAAAATAGTTTACCTGACCACCTTCGCCTTCTACGCTCTGCAGTTCTCTCCATTCTTCAATCGTCTGAGCCAGATCGATTTGGCACAGAGGAACTTTCACCTCGCCGATCTGGTCGTGTTTTGAAAACCTGTCAAAATCAAAGATTGCAAAGACAAGTGTTTTGTTCATCGCATCTGCGTACGGCACGCTCTGAAAAGTAAACGCTTCAGTTAGTTGGTTGTAAAACAGAGGAAAGTTGGAACGAATTTGGTCATTTCTTTAAGTATACAAAAACGTCGACCGACCTTGAACGTGAAAGTTTCATTGAACTGAGGACTGAGCGTCTTCCTGTGTACTTTCGTCTCGAACTTTTTCTTCTTATCCGGTAGCAAGTAAACCTTCACGTACGGATCAGAGGTACCACCCATGTCTAAGGCTGGCAGTTCTTCGGCTTGAATTACTGTCACTGCCAAGCTGTTCGTATTGAAGTCGTACTC